GCTTTCCCGTCCAAAATATATCTAACCCTTGCCAATATCGATATAATTTTTGCTATTTTATTCTGAACATATCTGATATGAGATTTCCAGGAGAATTTGTCATCAACTATGACACCTAGAAATTTAATTTCATGTACTCGTTCTATATTAGCTCCCCCAATTTTCAATTGAAGTTCATTATCTAGTCTACGATTCCCAAATACCATAAATTTAGTTTTATCCAAATTCAGAGATACTATATTACTATCACACCATTTCTTTATCTTCTCAAGTTCCTGTGTAACCCGTCCAGAGAGTTGCTGTAGGTTTTCACCCGATGCCCATATGGTAGTGTCATCAGCAAATAAAACCACTTTCACTAAATCAGAAACCTTACATATATCATTGATGTATAATATAAATAGTTTAGGTCCCAAAACAGAACCCTGAGGCACTCCACATACAATATCCAGCTCACTCGATTGGTATTCACCCAACTTCACAAATTGACGCCTCTGTGTCAAATAACTTCTAATCCATTTCAGAACCATTCCTCTGATCCCATATTTTTCTAACTTGTCCATTAATAATTCATGATTGATTGTGTCAAATGCTTTTTTTAGGTCAATAAATATCCCCATCATGTATTTCTTCTCATCCATAGCACTTGTAATGTCCTCCATCAGGTCAGATATGAATACAAAGTGTTTTCATATCACTAATTTGCATCAAAACTTGTGAAATAGATAAACTGCAAACATCCTGTACAGTGGAGTACTGCGGAGAATGACTAATGAAAGACTAATGAGAAATCGAAATATATAAATCTAGGCTGTTACTGTAGTTAGGTAGCAAGTTGCAAAAAAAAGATGGCTACAGTGAAAGTTATCAGTGGAATTAATACATGCATAAACATTTCACAGTCTCATTGTGAAAGAAAACTGCAACACATTTGAGCCTGCAGGGCTTCTGCTTTAAGATGGTGCTGTCAGATAAAAAGGGATCATATTACCTACCACAAGGTGCCATTCTTCTGTGCTGGCATAAGACCAGAAAAAAAGTTTTTATCTCTAATATAAATCTGTGAAATAGCCATAAAATAAATAATGTGTTACATAAACAGTGGAAGTTGGTGACTGTCACAAAAGTGTCACAAGTGATAGAGATGGTGCTGGATAACATGTGTCAGTGAACCACAGGCCCTATAAGCCTCATCATAGAAATCACTGCATGTTGTGACATTACTGAAAACATCCACTAATATATCCCTACGACCCTACTGTGGCAGCAACATAATACAGAGTGTGACTGCCCTGGTGTGCTCCAAGAAAGAACAACAACAAATCTGTGCATGCACAGGCATGCATGATCTGACAAAATATGGTGCATAATGTGGCGCTACTGTAAAACAGGATACACCGGTGAGTCAGAGAATTAGCACACAGCATTTCTCCTCTAGTGCTCCGGTCCCCGGGCACAAGCAGACATTTGAAATAAAAGTGTGAATGGCTTTTGTAGGAAGCAAAGGAAACCCTCTCAACAGTATTATAAGAGGATAAGGCCCTGAGCCCCCTGTCTTGCTATATAAGCAAGCCTTTGCATACCATAGCACACTCAGGCATCAAACCAGTTCTTTGGAAGGTACAGCCTAGGGAGCCTCTGACACAACCACCTGCTCATATTCAGTTAGCAGCAGCACTATTTATCAGAGCCCAAAACAGCATTTGCTGTTGGCTGCAGTAAGTCACAGTGGATACGTGCCTGCACCTTGGCAGGGGAACGATGAGGGATTCTAGGTCGCCTGTGGCTTGGAGTGTGAAGTTCACATACGTGGAGTTATTTCTAGGAGTACCTATTCCCATGGTTTCACTCACAGAGCGCTAGAATAAAGCCTAGGGGGAAACAAATGCTACACATTATGTTTGACAAAAATATCACTAGCCGGTGCTATTCATTCCTCATCAGATAATGAGGTTGTCAATGCATAATAACATGGTGGGGTGGGAGTGGGGTGATTTTACCTATACATGTTTCCTCAGGGTTGACATTGCACATTTTGACGTTGACAGCATTTTCACCACTGGTAACCAAGCTTTGCACAGTTAATATCAGAGCCCTTTTATGATTTCAGAAGGAAAATATTGTTGAAATTCCAGCACTGAAAGGCGTTATTGTCTAACAACATGACCGCCCGCCTTGGTCGCAACCAGGCGTGGCAGACTCTGGTTGCCTAGAGCAATGTGCACTGACTTGATTGGAGGATGAGAGATGGTGCAAAGTCAAACAAGAGAACAAATCAAAAGCAATGCTCAAAACTGAGTGTGTACTGTCAAATGAACGGAGCCTATCTGGGTGTAGACACAGTCCTTGTAAGCCATCCTACCCTTGATGGCGGTGTACTCCAATTTGTCCCAGCAGCTTTGCTGACCTGTGGCAACAAGATGCAAAGCTTATATTCCACATATAAGCTTTTTAAACTTTTTTAATTACATTTTTTCTCAGTAACTGCAACTGATTACAATTACATTTATTTTGTAATAAGATGCAACTAGTTACTCCCGAACATGTATGTGTATGTGTGTGTCGGCATGTTATGAAGGGGATGCATGATAAAGACTGAGGCCTGGGAGAAAATAATGTATGTGGTTAATTAACATATGAGCACTGTTGCTCCCCACATGTGAGTAAAAGAATGAGTGTACAAAGTCATTCAACTCAGCATTGTCCTTTCCCAACGCTGTGTTACTAACAAGCTACTGCCTGCTGAATCAAGTGTTCATAATAAATTGATAGCTTTGCGTAATGTGATTAGGATCAGCCAAACCTCGCTTGGCCCAAACTTAATCATATGAAATTTCAGATGGAACTCATAATCTGTGTGAAGTCCGTAATAAGACAGTCCCCTGTTCTGACAAGCTGACAGCACAGCTTTCATGCACAGCATTAGTAACACATAGGATACTGTCCTCTCATCTGCAGAGGAATTAACAAAGTCTGCTGTTGCTTTTAGTGTTTGGGAGAGGCGAGGAGAGGAGAGGGCAGGACAGGACAGGACAGAAGGGAGTAGTGACTCGGGGAGAAATCCATTTAAATAAAAGGTAATCCACTGCAGTGAGAATTCTTTCTCTCTGCCTGCAGCCTCTAGGCTCTGGTAGTGATTCTAACAGGAAGACTGTAATATACACTGCACCGTATCACAAACAACAGATCCAACACTGACGTGAGATTCATATCATATAAACGATGCATGACTTACCAAAATTAAGACAGAGACACCCACTTTTCATGTTGAAGCACCATCCATCCATGCGCACTGCAGCTGCATTACCATGTTATGTCATACTGTGCATACACTCTATGTATTACTGTACTTTACATATGCTATCTCCATGCTCAAGATAGAGTCATACATCCCAGCATTTTAGTCGACCATAAATGAACTTTCCTCACCATTCAAACACACACACACACACCAGATATTTCCAGTGTTGTGTCCACAGTCCCTATCCCAAGGAAGGGCCATGTCACCAAAGTGCACATACAAAGGAAGCATCTCCCTTCCCCTCTGTTTCTCTCCCACCTCTTTTCTCTCTCTCACCCACACACTTTCACTATTTAGCTAACACTTAAAAGGGCTGCCTAAAGATAGAAGCAAGAAGATGAACAAGAGCCAGCAAGTGTCATGGCAACAGCATGCAGTGGCTCACAAACACTATTTAGATCAGCAAGAAAAATTTATAATCAAAGCCTAAATATAGTAATATCACCTACTCAAAGACACTGTTTACTAAAATTCAACGCAAAGACGAGCCAGGCCAGAAAGCCCTAGGCCTCAATTCAACAGCTGAGTCGACAGCATAGCTATCATGAAGATAAACTACCTTGTACTTCAGATGTTGAGAAAAATCCTCACTGACTCCTTGTAAATAGTTAATTTAGGTCTATTGTAGAAATTGTGAGCTTCTGCCATGTAGCTTTACAATGTACGGGGACGCTCTGACAGCTGAATGGTTATGGCACAGTGTATATATGCACAGTGTATGTGTATTGTTGCTGGTCTGAGTCCAACTGCTGACGTTTATTGCAAGTCTCCGTCTCCCCCATTTCCTGTCCACCTCTCTGCACCACACTGTCAAATAAAGGCTAAATGACCCCCACCCAACAATATTATAATAAAAAACATACAGTGATCATCTAATTCTTAAACACATTAGGAAAATTCCTCTGTAATAGTGGATACTAATGAATATGTACTCACATTTTTAAAATAAACATGCTATGAAACATCATTACACTCTGTATAATGTAAATAATGTCAATTTTGTTAAGGCCTATGCATTGCACTTCTGTAGGTATGGATGTTGAATACAGCCCCTGATGGGATATTTCAGAAACGTTGTGCATCTCCTTCCACTTGGATCCCTGAGGCCACCTGCACATCAAAGCACCAATTCTGAAATGCCTTCCTGAGTAGTGGTACTCCATCATACTCTGAAGCGAATTTAACACAACTGACAAAGACATGTTACACTCCTCACAGATTCCAGCACAGCGGGTATAAAGAAATGGCTTAATGTCATCCTTCTCAGTCCATTTCTTCACGTGTGCGCTCGTCAGATTAAAAAACATGTGAAATGTTCAGGGTGAGTAATGGCCTAAGAGTAATGGATGACATTAATCCACATGGGCATCGCCTTCACAGATCAGTTCCTTCATCATCTGATGAAACACTGATCAGTGCTCTGTCATCATCATATTACCAGTATCAGTGAGAGGTTATTAATCAGGCATACTCCCACTCAGTTATTTATCCATTATCTCAGATGTTTACTCAAACAGAGCAACTTGTACTGTATGTATATGTGTGTACAGGCACCTAATATTATATGTTATGAATCTCTACATACAATGCTTTTTATTAATTAGTTTATAGGCACTGAAGGTCTGACAGGAAGAAGAGGAAAACATGTGACTAGGTCAATCAGTATTTATGTGTGTCTGTTTATGAGAGTGTGACTCACTATGTTGACCTGCAGTGGTTCTGAACCAGGTCTCAGCAGCCTCCTCCTCCTGCAGCTACCAGAGTCTCCAGATCGCAGACGCACCGTCGATGACTGACCTATGTCTGACAGGCAAACAAATGATCGTGATCAGTGATCAACAAACACACGGCTGTATATTAATGTAAAATAAAAAATATGCAGTGGTACCTGATTGAGGGAGGAGCAGTGCCAGGGCAGTGAGAGTACTGGGGGGCAGAGGTAGGGACCGGCAGCGCTGGAGAGACACCCTGAGCGGGGGCTCTAACGGTGACACACCCGGGGGCCGAGACAAGGCCTAGAGGGTACTGAGTGGTTAGGGCATCTCCTATACTCCACAGCGTTGCTTTGATGCACAAGATTAAATGCACACACTCCCATGCCCTTAAAAAAATCTTCCTTACTGTCTTGTCCCCTTTTTGCAGTGAATTAAAGTGTTTCACATCCATCAAGTCTATTCTGGCGCATTGGTCAGTGTGCATGCCCTGCAGCAAATCACGAGAGACCATACATCATGCCGAACCAGGCGGTCTCACAGGTTAAAATGAACTGACTCCGAGTTAGGCCAATGAGAGGTAGAGCTTATGGGAGCAATGAGGCAGAAAATTGATGACAGAGAAAGAGTGAGAGTGAGGGAGAGAGAAAAAGAAGCCACAAAGAAAGAAAGGAAGAGTGAGAGAGAGGAACAGAAGTAAAAAGGGAGAGAGGGGGAGGTGTGCTGAGGTAAATACAGCATCCAGAAATACAGGCCCCTATAAATGGGGCAGAGCATGCATGCATTGTTGCATCTAACAGTGAGTGGTGTATAAATACTGGGTTAGTACTGGGCTGCCTTTCAAAGTCTGTAGTGTGTGTTTGATTCATTATGGGCTTGGGCTATATTTGTCAGTGAGTTGGTGGAGACTACTAGTGAGACTCTGCCCTCCTACCGTTGTTTTTTTTTAGCATCAGGATGTGATATATTTATATCTACTGCATAGACATACGTTTACCCAGTATACAGTAAATTTGTATTTGGATATTTGTGGGACTGCTTGTTTGTCATTCTTATGTGTGTACGTTTACTTTCAGTGAAATTATGCATGAATGCCTGTGTTTGTCAGTGGGCATCTTACTCTGTGGTGCAGCTCCGTGGAAAGAGGCTCCCTAGTAACACTGGTCTCTATGACAGAACAAGGCCTGGAGCGAGCAGCCATCCTTCTCTGCCCCGGTGAGTGCTGCATGGTGGGGGCAGGCCTACGTCTCCGCCAGCACAGTGAGCCACCCTCACTATAATGGTTGTAGAGATCTCGGTCTGGGTTGGACCTCCACAGGTCCAGGACAGCTGAGGCCGGGCGAGGACGAGGCTGCAGGGGCTTGTGAGGTACAGAGGTCTTCTCTGTGCTAGAGTGGGACACGGCTGGGCCCGGCTGTCTCACACTGCAGCCTGTCTGGCTGGCAATCTGCTCACACAGCTGTGATTGGCACAGATACTCAGCAGTTTGGCCCAGATAAAGGTGCAACAATTCACGTCTTGTGTTGGGAATCTGGAGGAATGTCTCTATACTGTAAGTTCAATAAATATAACTAATATTTCATTACAAAAGGTTTAATTAGCCATGAGCTCATGTTTCTAATTACAGTGCAGCTACAGTAGCTCTAAGTGCCAAGACTGCCCCTGAATGGCAGTTAAATATCAGAGAAGAAGAAACAAAAAACAATAAACAGTTGATTTAATTTGTAAACAGTGGCTGATGATGGAGGAGGATTTTCATGGTGGTATCACTTCTAAGTTACTGTAGGAATGCACATTAGAACTTTCCAAAACAAATTCCCACATCTCTTGCCTTTGCTTAATAAACCCCTATGAAAGTGCAGCGTGTTTTGAGATGTCATATCTGATTTTGTCATCAGGAGTTGGGGCCAATGTGTCCTGGCTAGCTGGTGTGACTAGAAGGGAGACGACTGATGCCTCCACTGGAATGAGAAGGGAAGGGTGCTCGTCATGAAGCACAGACGTCACAGAGCTCTAGGGCTGTTGCAGTCCTGGACAAATTCCTGCAGTTTAATGCTGTAATTACTGACTACTTCCTCTTCTCTCCAACAGATGGAGCAAATGGACAACTGTACAGGAACCCAAATCAACCGGTGTCCTGAATGTTTTTGTTTCTCTCTGACAGCTAATGAACCACACCTACTGTACCATTCAAGTTTGTTGTTAATGATTTTAAGAAGCATGACAACGGTTAAAACTGTTACAGTTGCATAAATGGTGTAATTACATGATGCATGCCTCTGGCAATGTTAATGATGTGCAGACAGCCTGCAATGGATTGTAGTTAAGGCATAAATGTGAGACACATTGCACATGAAGATGCTATAACACTGAACTGCTGAAAGACAGCAGCAGTTTGGCAAAAAAAAAAGAGACTGATTTCCTTAACAAATGTATTCAGTTCAGTGAGTGGTAATTATTGCAGCTCATTTTATATTTAAAGTCACATACCTTAAATATTTCCTCTGTGGAACCCGATGCCAGTACGCTATTGGTTGTGCTGTCTTTATCACCTTGTTGCAATTGGACATTCACTTCCTGCATCTGGTGGGAGTCAGAAGGAGCGACCCTGGAATCCTGCTCATTTCCTGTCTGTCCCACTACCTCTTCATCTGGACAGAGACAGTGCAGTGTATCATCCACTTCTTTTTTAGTGTCTGTGTTGGGACCTGACTGGGGGATAGGGTTCTCTGTTTTGGACCTGTGGTTTGTGTCCCTGTCTATATCTTTGTATGTGAACTCAAAACTCTGGAGACCATTGACAGTATTGACAGCTGGAGATTCTGGGCATGCCCTAAATGCTTTCAGGACCACCTTAGGAGATAGTTCACCTGTCACAGGCGCTAGAGCCTCGCTGTCAAAACTGTGTGAGGATTTAGCTGTCCCTGGTGATGACAGGACAGGCTGAGATTCTGGAAGTCCTCCACTATGAAGTGTAATGGACACACTGTGAATATGGTCCACTGTACGCTGTGAGATCCGTGGGGAGCTCATTGGAGTCCTCTCTCCCTCTGGAGGAGAGAAGGAACGCGACGTTGTCCGCCATTTTCTGGCTGTCTCTGCTACACTGGTGAAAAACTTGAACAGACCGCCAAAGTGCCCTTTGGTGTCATTAGAGGGCTTTGTGGGTGGAGGCTGAAAATCTGGGACACTCTCAAAGTCTACAGAGCCATAGTCTGAGTCCATGGTTTTTTCCAGAGAGTGGAGCTCGGAGTCAAAGCTCCTCTCTGAGTAAATGGGATTAGCTTTCCCCAAAATGGAAATCCTCCTCAGGTAACTCCACACATCTTTGCGTCTCCTTCCTCTACCCATTTGAGTGCTCTGGTTACCTTTGATGCAAGACTCTTCACAGCCTGAGGATGTTTTGTTACAGCTGGTTGAATTGCTGTGGCTTCTTTTAGTATGGGAACCTCTATCAGATGGTTTACAACCATTCTGAGTCACAGTCTCTCCTGTTACAGTGGGCTGATAGCCATCTATAGGAGCAGAGAGGTCAATATCTTCAAACGAACAGTCAAAATCTGCTGTATAGCCAGCATATGAGTGCCTCTTGCCATGGTGCCTAAGTGTGCCCCTGCTGGACTGCTGAGGAGTACCAATGCCATGGCAAAAAGATTCCTCATCCACCAAAGAGCTGCTGAATTTTGCACTGGACAATTTCCCAGTCCTCCCTCTGAACACAGAAGGGGATTTAAGCTTCTTAAAAGAGCGGACTTTGTCAGCAAATGAGAGTTTAGGGATGGAAGCCTCCCCGGGCAGGATCATGGAGTGGGGTCTGCGCTCCAGCTCTGAGACAGCTCTCTTTCGGTTCAAGATCTTCCAGATACCCCCTGTGGCACGGGGCCTCCGGTTGACCTCCTGTCTGTCCTTGACAGGGGTCTGAGAAGAAGATTCACCCTGCCCCTCTGCAGGCACCGGTTGCTGACTGGGTTTCACCCTGCCCCTCTGCAGGCACCGGTCCACTCTCCTGAATATAAACACTGCTCGTCTCATTCTCCACATCCAGAGAAACATTAAACACTCGATTGACAAACCCATTAGGGTTGTTGCTCTCAGGGGCAGGGCTGTCTGTCTGTTCCATCCTCTCTCATTCTACAGCGTCAGCTATCAGCTCCAGTGGACATCATGTCTTGGGCCCCTGTCTCTCAAACACCTGGAGGAACAAAACCACATTTTTATTCAGGAGTTGGATGTTAAACTGGCTGCCTTGTCATTTTATATCATGCTTATTCTGTCTGAAGGTGCTCAGAATGCCTGTAGATGTACTCCATTGATGCAAAATATATGAAATATTCTCAGTGGTTGGTGAACTGTATTTAATCTGCACAGGTAGCCAGTTGCTCAAGAATAATAAATATGTAGTGATACTGTGGTGGCTTTCCACAACAGATACTCTTGCCCTAAGTGAAATACAGGCCTCATTTATTGATTCTCAGACAAGGGCTTCTGTACCACGAGTTAACAGTCACAAACACCCACCACCCTCCTGCCCCAATATTTGGTCCATATTATACAGAGTAATTATTTGAGACACAGTCCCCGTCCACCATTTATACTGGGAGGCTGTGTTGTCATGGAAACACTCACTACAGGGATGTCTGGTTATTTCGGGCCTGCTCTGGTTCTGACATCAGCATAGCTCAGATAAGATCCTTCTGAGGAAGAAGATGCTCAGCAAAGTAGCACACAACCACATGTTAATTACCTCTATTTCCTTTTAATTTAATAACCCATATTGTGTAATTGGGGCCTCCCAGCATATGGTACATAGGATCATCACTGAAGATGTGTTTCAATTAAGATGTCCTTTTCACAGCCTGTCACAATTAAAATTATAAGCTTTTTACTGATAAGCTGCTAAAAGAAAGGACTCAGTCTGATTAGAGGGACAGTGTCCGGTCACACAGGCCTATAACTGGTCAGCACCTATTTTAGCATGTAGAGTTAAATGTAAAATGTCAGGTCTCTTTAAAGTTATTTGGCCATTACCTATTCCTATCATATGATTTTTTTCCCTTAACAGCCTGATTTGTAAGGCATAGCAGTCATGTAGCCTACAAAACTACACATTAACAAACTATTTTTGTAGCTAGGCTTCCATAATATAACCAGGTCAAAGCTTGCTAACAGCGACTGGTGAGGAACTTTTAAGTTGGGTTGTGGCGTTTAAAGTGTGTTTTAAAGCAAGTTGTCAAACTCGGTTACACGAATTTTATCCCTGAAATTGCGTAGTAACTTTGTTTGGTGTTATTTAACGCTTCTACCAAATGTCAACGTGAGCCGAATTAACAGTATGTAGCTTAACTTTAAAATTCAACACCCTCTGAAACTTTCTCCTGGAGTTGTACCGGGGGGGGAAGCGGTTTCGTGTCTCCTCTCACCGCCTCACACCGGCTGTTAAAGCCGTTAACTTACCCCCAGGAAAACGCACGTCCCCGTTCACACGGGCATCGCTGTCGCTGCTGTCCTCAAAGTCAACCAAAACACGGGCTGAACGTATCCAGTGTTCTTTACGGGCTCAACTTAAATCCATGAGTAAGGCCGAAGTTATGTTGCGGACAGCGACTCCTTTGTAGATCACACGCGTCTCTGCCTCTAAACTTGGTCAGCTCTCATCAAACTGAGAGAAACTAGGAGACTTAGTACCAGACCGGTGAACTCTTGCCCTGTAAGCTCCCGCAGACGCCGACACTCTGATTTGTGATAAAGCACTCACGCAGACAGATCAACAGACACACACACCCACACAGACACACACACACACACATCTCTCTCTCTCTCTCTCTCTCTCTCACACACACACACACACACATGCACCTTCAGAAACATACACATTCTCTCTAATTATTTAATACAATGTGCTCCTCTTGTGTTAAATAGCAAGTTCCTAGCTGGCTTTGGATTTAAATAGAACCTATAGACTATAGTTTACATTACATTAACCTTGTGCTTTTAATCCCATGTTTTTTCTCCAGTCCATTAAAATCCCAAAACCTTTTCCATTGCCTTTATGGCACATATGTACACTTCTTTTCTCTGTCCTGTGTGTTGGATTTATAATGATGATATAGATTTATAAGGAAGCGCTTAAATTTCTAAAGGGACATCAGTGAAAACAAGTGATTGACTGAACTCTGGTCTCACTAGCTGATCCTCCTTTGGGATTTGAGTTGAATGTGAAAATCCCTCCATTGAAATGACACAATGGGGAAGAGGGAGCTCATGGGGGAACTGGAGGAATTCACAAAAGGCAAACAGCTCCAGAGCTCCATAGCCGTGAAAGAAGAGACGATGGAAGAAGGGGCCTAAATTTAAACATTTCCTCTTTGTCCTGTTTTGGACCCATTGTCATTGCATGGCGTTCTCCCTTCTGCACAGGAAGGAGTGGATGTGACATCAATGCTCTCAAGCTGACAATGCCAGGAAGTCTGTCTGACTCTATGTAAATATCTCTAGGTGTCCATGCTTCCCTTGCTTGCCCGTGGAGCTGCTCTCATCTCACTGGCCCTCTCCCTGGAGTAGCTTTAATAAGAAATTGAGGGCGTAGTGTTAGTAGTAGTAACAACATGGTGATTTACATGATACACTTCCCCCATAACTAATCCACAACTGTCACTGTGAATTACAGCAGCCTCATCTACAAACGACCTCTCCTCTGATGGAGCATCTTCCGACTGTGGCTTCAGAGCTGATGGGCTACAGTGACCTATATTTGTCCCTTCCTGATTTTTGTGTTTTGCCATTTCACATTTCTCCTGTCATTTTGCTCTTTGGTACTCTCCTTCGCCTCTATTCCCTCACCTCATGTCTCCCTCCCCTTACATGTTAACTTCCTCAGAACCCCAAGCAGTCTTCCTGCTGTCCCCTCCTGCGACAGAAGACATCCTGGCTCAAACAGGCCAAGCTTGAAGCTGGCCCCCATTAAACTAACCTGTTATCTGTAAAAAAATAATAAATTTGTCCACACAGCATTTTATGCAAGTGACAAAAAGGAAGAGAAGAAAAGTGAGAGAGAGTGATGAATGAAAGGAAACAGATCAGAGATTTATAGACTCACAACCAGCTGGGCCCGTGTCTGAAACGATAAGTTTGTGCTGATATTTATTCAGTTGCCTATTTACCACGAGTGTTGAACACTCTGAACAGAGCTTTTTCAAATGATGTCATTAGCTTCTCGTTTTCAGAACAATCAACCCCTTCCTCCTCTTCCTATGACACTGTCCGCACCGGCGGGTTTAGTGGAGATTACTGGAGACAAACACTCACTCAGTTTAGGTCCAGCTGTAATTATTTCAGCAGTTTTTGTCAAAGCTGCTGACTGTAAACAGGCTGCTGTGAAAAAGTGTGTGTGGGGGGAGGGGGTCAGGCATGTTGTGATATCAAATGAAAGCCTTACTAAAGCCTGGGAACTGGATCCAGGAGGTGTGTGAGAACAGCTGGGCGTTAAGTCAAGCTGTTTTCAGTGCAGGTGTTTTGGGAACATTGAGACTAAAACAGTGTGCGGCTGTGTGATGTTGATACATGTCTGTGTCCAAATGCTGAGGACACTGCCTGCATTTCTGGCTCTTAATACTCTGGCATGTTAAAATATTCTGGCACACTGCCACACACACAGATTACCCCCCCACTATTGGTATAAACTATGCTCAGGTAGCAGTTGCCTCCGGTGGTAGAAGAGAGTTTGAGTTATACTGACATTCCTGACATTCCCTCTGCACTGACCTGCATACTTCCCTGGCCTGCCTACACATGGCGCTATTCATGAAACGCACACACATTGGAGCCCATCCTACCAGTTCACAGACACTTAGTTTGGATTAATCCATCAGTTTGGTTGGTATCACAGACTCACACCCATGGACACATAGTAGGCTACGCATGGAGAACTTGACTTTTAACAGGGAGAATGGTCTGAATGATGATGATCCAGCAGCCATCTGAGAGACAGCTTGAGGGAAGGAGAGAATGGGTGAGACAGGACAGAGGGACTGTGTGTGTGTGTGGAGCTTTCAGCTGGGGACTTTCAGCCATTATCAGGATGAATCTGAAAACAGGATGGCGGGCTCCAATAAACAAGACGAACGGAAGAGAACCACAATTCTACTTCCTGTTTGAGAGCAAAGGAGGAAACTGCAGATTTTTCAGGAATTCAAATCAGAAGCAACACTCCGGAAAGGCCATCTTTAAAAAATAAGAAATGCTCCTGTTTTGATCAAATTATTTGCTACTGTGGGTAAATATAAAGGCACTTTAAAAAATTTTTTTTTTTAGCTTTTTAATGTTTAAATGAGCTGAGCTGGACTTGGCTGTGTTTGTGGGTCAGCAGCAGCAAGAGAAAAGCAGCCTGGCAAGCCAGTCACCAAATCCGCTCATCTGGATGCTTCCAGGTTCTTCAGAGAGCAAAGTTTCTGACTGGTCAGCAGAGGAGGGCTATTTAATTGAGAAGAACAAAAGGAGATAAAACTTAGCGGATGTATCTTCACAACATTATGTGTCTCTGTTGCTGAGCAGAGTGAAGGCAATCCGAGATCAAAGGCCAGATAGTATGCAATTAGTGTTGTGATTGATAGCAAACTGGCATTCACTGATTGGTCATTGAGAAAGCTCTTTCAGAGCTGTTTGTTTTATCTCCTTGATGAATGTCAACCTCTGACCACATCATTATCTCTGGTCACTGTCCTCTGTGCAGGTTAGACTGGAAAAATAGTGGTTTAGGCAGCCCGGCTTAAAAAGGAAATGGAGCAACAGCCACTTTACTAGCTCTATCGATTATAACTGGATATAATACAGTACCTCCCTCCATCTCCCACTCCTTCTCTATCTCTCTGCCATCTCTGCAGCTCCCTTTTCATGTCCTAGATAGAGGTAGAAGGATAGGCATGGTCCTCTTTCCACTCCTTTCCTGCACATCTGCAGGAACATCTTATCAACAATAAAAAGAGAAAAGAAGGGTGTGAGGTTGCCATTTTGTAAGTTTACACTGTGCTGAAATATTTTGACCACAGATAGTAGCACTATCAAATTATAGTAGCATAACCACCATAATTAATTCTCTAAATCTTTCTCTAAAACATCCTACTTATGTAGTAATTCTATATGCCCGTCTAAAATAGTAAACTATGTGACTGCAATAGTATAATATGTGATTCCAATAAAGCTAATTTAAGTGTAGTATAGTGTAAATCCGTGGCTAAACATTGCTAACACAGTTCAGCATTTAGCAGCGGGTTACGTGTATTGATGCTGAAATAGAGGACCAGACTATTTAGGTAGTGTTTCAGCATACCAGAGTATAATGCTATATATAGCCGAAATCTTGTCAAAATGCATAGTGTATAGTGTACAGTACTGTATATGGTTTTTTGGATGTGGAGGTGTTTGGTGTGTGTTTGAACAGATTACCAGATTTCACTTTGAATTGCTTTCATGAAAATCGGTAATGTAGCGATGGCACAGCAGTCTTTGTCACATTATCTTTATTTTAGTGGTTACTATTATTATTATAAGTATCATTTTTTGGCATACCATTATATTTTGTAGGATAGCACAGTGGTGCAGTGGTTAGCACTGTCACCTCCTGGCAAGAAGGTTCTCGGTTCAAACCTCATGGACATGTGTGGGGCTTGTACGTTCTCCCCATGCCAGTCTGGAGGCATGCAGGTTAGGTTAGGTTATTGGCAAGCCTGAATTGCTCATAGGTGTTTGTGGCTGTGTGTCTCTGTGCTTCAGCCCTGTGAGAGACTGGCCTGACCTGTCCAGTGTGTACCCTGTTTTTTGCCCAGTGTCAGCTGGGATTGTCTCCAGCTCCCATGACCCTGTACAGGATTAGATACTGCTGGATAGTTTATTCCTTGTCAAATTGAATTTCTGTTTTTCTTCCTTTATTCCTCTTATTTATTTATTTTTGTAAATCCAGTATTTGGACATGTGTTACTTCAAGGTTGCTTTATGACACAGTAAAAACAAACTGAGCCAATACTGATGCAGTTGATGCACATTTTTACATGATCAAGAAGCACGCACAGCTCACATCCAGTCTATGGAAACTCAACAGACAGTGGAAGACGGTTATACGTATGCAATTATAAATGTTCTCCCCTCCTGCCATGTGAACAACCCTTCTACCATCAGACATACTGTACATGCACACTCTTAAATCCTAGGGCGATGCAACTGCAGGTAGAGGTTGTTTGCTTGCCAAATGTCCAAAAAGCAGAAATACACTCGGGTGAAGAGAGACATCTAGAGGAGCCAAATAAAACCATTCATTTATTTTGCAACATAGTGTGAATGGCCTTTTTTTAATGACAGCTTTACTATAAGCCTTTAAGAACCAAATTTCTGAAGACCAAGCGGCCTCTCATTGAAACATCCTGCCTGTAAATACATAGTTATGTATGGAACTTCCTGTGTGATGCATTTTACACACCAACCTTTTGTTACAGACCTCTGCCACATGATGGCACTGTGGCTCTTTCAAAGAATATCACTGGAATGTTCCAGTGGAAAAGCGGATTACAAGACAATCCTTTATTATTAAAAATCAGATATATTGTACATTTGAGAATATTGTCTATTTCAGGAGTAATACCACACAGACAAATCCAGGGCTCAGGGGAATCAGACTGATAGAGTGAAACTAGAGGAACTGATCTAAAATGATGAACTGAAATTGACCACATTTGCTACGAGGATTTTAATTAACTACTAGTGTTCCGAAC